ACGGAGGGTGGAGTTTTTGTTTTCTTCTCCTTCCTTCCTTCCTTCCTTCCTTCCTCTTTTTTTTTGTTTTTTTGAGACAGGGTTTCTCTGCTTCCTCTTTTTTTTTAAAGACTTGCTGGCAGTGGTGGTGCGTGCCTTGGGAGGCAGAGAGGGAGCTCTCTGTGAGTTCAAGGTAAGCCTGGTCTACAGAGAGTGTTTCAGGAAAGCCAAAGCTACAAAGAGAAACCCTGTCTCAAAAAACAAACAAACAAAAACAAAACAATAAAAATAAATAGATAAATAAATATTCACGTATTTTATCTTCATGCATGTCTGCACACCAGAAGAGGGCACTGGACCCCATGGGACTACTGCTATAGATAGTCGTGAGCTGCCATGTGGGTGCTGAGAATTGAACTCAGGACCTCCAGAAGAGCAGCCAGCGCTTTTAACCACTGAGCCATATCTTTGACCCCAAGTCTAGAGTTTTTTTGATGCTGTCCTGTACCCGTGTCAGATCAGCCTTGATTTGTTGAGTGATCTGGTTATGTTGAACTTGTTGGAGTTCAAAGGCCATTGATCCCAGGCTCATAACCCCTGCCATAGTTTCTTAGGATGTCATCGTTTTTGGTTTGGATAGGGGTGAGCTGATGGTTTGTTTTAAAAACAATCAGTAAGATTGGAAGTGGGAGGTAACAGGGACAGAGAGTAGCAGTGAATAGGATCAAAATATGTTATATACACGTAAGAAAATTTCATGGTGGAACCCATTATTAGCTATAACTAATATATGCTAATGAAACATTTAAAATGTTATCTGTCATTTATAATCCTAATCACTGGTTATTTTCACACTCAGTATTGTTCATTATTTGATGGAGGAAGGTCATTGGCTAATAAAGGAACTGCCCTGGCCCATTTTATTGGTTAGGACATAGGTAGGTGGAGTAAACAGATCAAAATGCTAGGAGGAAGAGGAAGTGAGGTCAGAGACTCCACAGCTCTCTCGGGAGCAGATGCCTCAGAGAGAGACGCCATGCCCCGCTCCCGGGATGAAGCTCCGACCCAGGATGGACTAGGCTAGAATCTCCCCGGTAAGCGCACCTTGGGGTGCTACACACAGATGATTAGGAATGGGCTAAATTAATATGTGAGAATTAGCCTAGAAGAGAATGGGCCAAACGGTGTTTAAAAGAATACAGTGTCCGTGTAATTATTTCGGGGCATAAGCTAGCCATGTGGGCGGCCGGGTGTGGGGGACGCAGCCCTGCCGCCCCTAATACTACATATGGCGCCCACGTGGACAACTGCTTCCACATAAAGCCTGAGACAGCTTGGGAAGTAATTCTAGAACAAAATGAAAGCATTGTGCCTGGTTTCTTGGTAGCAGCAATTTCTCGGTTCTACTCTGCTTGCTAGAGGCAAGCAAGCGCCTCATCTAAGAGAGGCTTCCTGACTCAGCTTTAGCTGCAAAGCCTGCAGCTCATTAAGAGGTCCTGCTCGAAACACTTAAACGGTGTTGACGAAAAGCTGAACGCATGCTTTTCGGTTTTCAGCCATAACAGGAAAAAAGCTGCGCCATTTAAAAATGCCGGCTTTCTGGGCCGTCCTGCCAGGGCAAACTCTGACTATTTGAGGCAGGAGGGCCGGCTACTGAGAGAGGACTTGAGTGTTGTCTGTTGTAGCTCGCTTGCTGGCTACAGCCAGTACCTCAGCCATGAGGCTGGAAAGCTAAGGAATGGGCTGGATCCAGCCGGCAAAGCCACGCCTTTAATCCTACTGATATTGCTTGGTAAATTAAAGACTCGTGTGGTCAGAAAAAGAGAGATATACAGTAAAGAGAGATTCAAAGACAGAGAAAATTTCTGAATGGTTTAAAGTGTGTTAAAAATATGTGCAAGCTAAAAGTTGAAGTTCTTAAAGTAACAAAAAAAAAAAGGAAGAGAGTTGTTGTGTGTGGTAGCACACACCTTTAATCCCAGTGCCTAGAAGGCAGAGACAAACAGATCTCTGTGAGTTCAAGGTGTAGTAGTGTACACCTTTAATCCCGAATGCCTGGGAGGCAGAGACAGGCGGATCTCTGAGAGTTCAAAGACAGCCTGGTTTACAGAGTTACTTCAGGTCAAAGATACAGAGAACCTGTCTCAAAAAGCAAAGAGTTAAAAGTAAAAATAAACAAAATAGAGGTTAAAACAAAGCTGCACAAAGATGGAAAATACACAGAAAATTTTGATACTGTATGCTATTATGCTCTCTTTAAATTATTTAAATGCTGAGGAAGGAGCAACAGATGCTAAAAGATATTTGTTTATAAATGCTGCTGAACTAATCCAACATAGATATTATGAATTTGGATCTAAGGATATGATGCTTTGGAAAGGAGTTTCTTATTTTGTTTTCACAGAGGATGAGACGCTGTTCATTTCTTCTATTCCGATTTGGTATGATGGACCACGCCCTCCTGAAGGGTTGCAGTGAACATCTTCAGAAAATTGCTTCGCTCAACTGCCAACTGAGATGAAACTAGCACACAGGTTATACCATGAAAGACCTAATTAACGACGCCCCCATTCAGCAGGAAGCAGTTTGGAGAGAAAAAACTGCGCCCATGTTCCCAAATATGGTTTATAAACGTCCTTTTACATTTAAAGGGGGATATGATATAGATATGAATAATTTACATTAGTATAGATTTTGCTTTATTGATAGAAATTTAAGGTCAATTTTGTTATATGTATAAGTGTTTCTGATTTTGATTAAGGTATTGTGATTGTGTAGTTCATTTAAATATGTACTGTATAATTGAGAAATATAGGTTGTTAATGGATAATCATCAATAATAGTAAAGCTTGTAGTCATGTTAGTTAGATTTTCTAGATATATAGAGATATATTTTAGATAGACATTCTTCGTGTCTTTCAAAGATTACAGAATAGGACATTTAATGTTTTAATAACTGAGGACTTTTCATGACAATGAGACACTCTGCTCCTGGCAGCACCAATCTACTTCAAGAGGAAGATGGGCATCGAAGAGGATCCTTATGGAGTTTGATAGCCATTTGGGCAAGAAACTGCTCTTGCCTGGACTATTGCATAAACTGGACACAGAGAACCCGCAGAGAGAGGACTACTGAACTTGCCTAAGGTGAGATGATCTTTCGGGGTTCCTGATTCATTTAAAAAGAGTCTGCGAGACATTCTGCAGGACACAACAGATAGTGACTGAACTGACTTTGAATTTTCCTGCTTTATGGAAATGTCTGCTGGATACCATGGGCCTGAAGGCTGAAGATGGATGCCCCAACGGTACAGAGGAACATTGGGTGACTGTCCAGGCAGTGAGATGTCTTTGTCATTTCTAGAGTTTGAAGTTTCTTAGTTCTTGTTTACTTAGGTAATATTATATCTTTCTGGAGTCTTTGATGGAGTTAAGAATAGTTAGTTATAGTTATAGTTTTCCGTAGTTATGATAAAGATTATTGTAACTTTTACTTGATAACTGTTATATGTAATTTTGCTATGTTAAAGCCTTTTTTTTTTTTGTTTAAACCGAAAAAGGGGAAATGATGGAGGAAGGTCATTGGCTAATAAAGGAACTGCCCTGGCCCATTTTATTGGTTAGGACATAGGTAGGTGGAGTAAACAGATCAAAATGCTAGGAGGAAGAGGAAGTGAGGTCAGAGACTCCACAGCTCTCTCGGGAGCAGATGCCTCAGAGAGAGACGCCATGCCCCGCTCCCGGGATGAAGCTCCGACCCAGGATGGACTAGGCTAGAATCTCCCCGGTAAGCGCACCTTGGGGTGCTACACACAGATGATTAGGAATGGGCTAAATTAATATGTGAGAATTAGCCTAGAAGAGAATGGGCCAAACGGTGTTTAAAAGAATACAGTGTCCGTGTAATTATTTCGGGGCATAAGCTAGCCATGTGGGCGGCCGGGTGTGGGGGACGCAGCCCTGCCGCCCCTAATACTACAATTATTTGTATAAATCCATCTGATCTTTTATCTTTATAATGTTGGACTCTAGCGTCCAAACACCGAGAAGGAGTCACCCCCAGAGACCATCTCATACATCACAGCCGATGCAAAAGCATGAGGATTTTATTAATTCTGTCATGACAGGGTCCCCCAGCATTCGGGAACCTGAGGGACCTCGAATAGCTGGTACAGTCTACTTTTAAAGGGGCCACAGAAGCAAGGGAGGTTGTTCTTTGACTATTCTGATTGGCTTATTCGAAAGGGCTATTACCAATAATTGACTGAAGAGCTGTTGCCAGATCAGAGGAGGTAAGAGGTCATTTTGACCCCATTTCCCAGGGGACCGAATCAAAGCATACGTATATGGGTAATTGTTCAGGAACTGAGTATGTGCGAGTGTAGCTGTTAGGTCCTTGGTTCCCAGGGGAGGAGGGGAAGCACTATGGCACAGAGGCTGAGAAGATTCAGAATTGTCAAAAATGGCTTCAGGATTGTCTTAAAGTTTTACAATACTATGTATAATTTTGTGACTAAATGGAACCATTTTGTACATACTACTTTTCTAGCTTTTTCTTTCCATGGATGTTCCTCAGAATCAAAGAGATGATGCAATTCACTTTTGGCAAACAGCTACTTTGTGGGGACCAGGACCTTTGTGCCTAATCTTCAGATCCCAAAAGCTTGGCTGGTTTCCAAAATTCCTGCTGCTGTCACAGAACCATGCCAACAACATGGCATTAAACTATTTGTCACGTAGTGAAGACATCTCACCCAGAAATAAGTTCTCTTTCTGGATTCAGTTAGAAACAAAGTATTGTAGAATTCTTTAAGTGAGGGTAATCCAGGTGTGGTGGTGCATGTCCGTAATCACAGCATTTAGGAGACAGAAACAGGTGGGTCTCTGGGAGTTCAAAGCCAACCTGATCTATGTAATGAGTTCTAAGTGAGACTCTGTCTCAAAACAAACAAAATGAAAGTAGTTTATCCATGTACTAAAGCTCATTTTTGATTGGTATTCTTAATGTTTTTGGTTCCTAGCTTGAGCAGTTTCGAACCCTGCTTGTCACTTCTGAAGGGGAGAAAGAGAAAAGAATGGTGGACAACTTCGGCCCTCTGCAGCCACTGATGAACCGTACTGTCCGCTCGTCCTTCCGCCATGATTATGTGCTCAATATACAAGTGAAGCCCAAGCCAGCAGCCAACCAAGTCACCCCCTAAGATGTTCGTATTTTAGGCAGCATCTTGCTTTAATGTATATTCACTTAAAATCTTAACTAGATTATTTTAAAATTCTGCATTTAATAATACTTATATGTATACATTTATATTTCTTTCCTTCCATTTTTGTAACAACATTTCAAAGTTTCTACCCTTGTAAAGCAAAGACTTGGAGACAAAACAATAAAAAAAAAAGCCCATAACCGAATCACATCAGGTTACCTTAGGTTACCTTTCCTTGGGACAGGATTAAGGCAGAGGAATCTTCTTTACATCAATTGAAGTGGCCAGTTAGGGATTTTGATGTTAAATTTCTCTAATCTCTCTTTCTCAGAAAGTCAGAGAAAGTTTAGTTTTTGCTTGGTAAAATGGAAGTTCAGTGTAAATAACCCATCTTGATTTTTCTGTTTGGGCCTTAATACAGGAGCTTAACAAACCCACAACAAGAGGTTCTTGTGAATTTTATTTAATGACGACAGTCTTTTGTCCAAACTGTTAAATTGTCTCATCTTACACTATTGGTCCCAATCTTAGCTACCATCATTTGGAACTGCTGACCTCAAGTGGCATTCAAAGGTTAGGTGTGCATTTATTGATTTCAGAGTATTTCATCTATTTTTTTAAGATAAGGTTTCTCTGTGTACCCCTGACTGTTCCATAACTTACTCTGTAGACTTGTCTAGCCTTGAACTCGTAGAGATCTTCCTGCCTTTGCCTTCCAAGTGCTGGGATTAAAGTCTTGTGCCACTGCTCCTGGTTTTCGTTTGTCTTACCAAATGCATTTGCTCTTTGGCTGTTAATAGTATGTGCCATTGGGATAGCAGCAGGACATTCAAGTTGCTCTTAAAGCAACCCGTTGGTAATTATGATGTGTTCTTATAGCTGACATTGTGTGTGTGTGTGTGTGTGTGTGTGTGTGTTGTGTTTTGAGGCAGGATCTCATTCTATAGTCAAGGCTAGCCTGGAACTCACAGTAATCCTCTTGTTTCAGTCTCTCAAGTGCTAGATTAGAGGTATAAGGTACCACATTGGACTATTAGATGTGACACGTTTGGTTATCATTATTTATTTTTTGAAACAAGGTGTCATGTAGCCCAGGGTAGACTAGAATTTGCTGTTTAGCTGAAACCACTCTTAAACTTCCGATTCTCCTGCCTTCACCTCCTAACTGCTAGGATTATAAGTGTGGGCCACATCACTCAGCTTTAACTATCTTTTAATACTTAGAGTTCTGTAGAATTTTAAACAGGTATTGTAGCCAAAATGTTAACATCTACCAAAGGCATAGACACTGACCACAGGCTTCTCAGAAAACATCTCTATGGGCCCAGACTGGTAACTCCTACCTGAATATTGACCATAGTTTTAGGTATAGTTTGTTTCAAAATGTGAGAATTTTTGTATTCAGACTTGTCAATGAGTACGCCTGTACTAATCTTTAGTTGCTATTGCTAGCATATGTGTACTTATTATCAACTTGCTGTATAGAAAATATATTTTATAATAATGGCCTGGTGAGATGGTTTAGTGGGTTAATACTTGCCATGAAAATCTAATGACCTTAGTTCGATCTCCAGAACCTACGTAAAGATGAAAGAAGAAAACTAACCCCACAGAGTTGTTATCTGACCAAGCATGCTCCATGGCATAACACAACTCCGTATACATCATAGATACACACAATAATAAAGAGAACTTCAAAAGAATAAAAAACAAAATATATTTTATAATCACAAGAAAACAGGACTTTTACTATATCTAGAATTTCTTTTGCATTTTTGAAGGTCAGATATTTTACTGAAAGACTTGGGATTCTATAGAAAGCTATCTGAGGGTTTCTATTGCTGTGATGAAGCATCATGACCCAAAGGCAAGTTGGGATGGAATGGGGTTATTCAGCTGAAATTTCCACAGCACTGTTCATCCTTGTAGGAAGTCAAGACAGGAACTCAAACAGGGCAGAATCCTGGAGGCAGGAGCTGATGCAGAGGCCATGGAAGGTGCTGCTTACTGACTTGCTTCCATGGCTTTCTCAGCTTGCTTGCTTATAGAACCCTAGACCACCAGCCCAGGGATAGCACCACCCACCATGGGCTGGGACCGCCCACATCCATTACTAATTAAGAAAACACCTTATAGCTGGAGCTTAGGGAAGCATTTTCTTAGTTGAGTTTCCCTGCTTTCAGATGACTCTAGCTTGTGTCAGGTTAACATAAAACTAGCCAGGACAAAGCATATTCAGAATGTTTTGATGATTGAAATGCTATAATATAGAAATCTTTTATGCTGAATTTATAGAAATATGTTTCCAAGGCCTAATCATCTAGTAGTCTATCATTTGTAGTATGGTATGTATATTGTTTATACACTGTTACATAGAATATAATGGTATCTTCAACAATAATTGAGTTCTTACCTTCTCATTAACATTTTCTCATTTAATTTTACAATGATGTTTCTTTTATGTGTGTGGGTATTTTGCCTGCATGTATGTCTGTGCACCACATGCATGCCAGGTGCCCAAGAAGGCCAGAAGAAGGTATTGGATCTCTTGGAATTGGAGTTACAGATGGTTATGCGCCATCTCGTGGGTTCCTCTGCAAGAGTATCAAGTGCTCCAAACGTCTGAGTCATCTCTCTTGCCCCTTTTAACACTTTATCAAATTGGTTTTATTTGCTCATTAGCCAAGGTATGTGTGTGTGCGTGCGTGGGTGGGTGGGTGCTGCTGAGGTTCTTTATAAGGCAGGAGCCTTATTTAATTAAACCTCCTGAATTATACGGGAGGTTTAGAGGACAGAATACCAAGTGTTGTGAGGATGCAGAGAAGTGCCCTGGTATAGCCACTAAAACCAGACTGACTGCATGATCCAGAAATTCCACCTCTGGGTAGATAGCCAGAAGACTTGAAAGCAGGATCTCAGAGAGAGAACTGTACACCCTTTCTAATAGCATTATTTCCAGTACCCAAGAGGTGGAAGCAACCTAAATGTCCCATGGACCAATATATTACTAAATGGGATGTGATATGTTGGAATATCAGCTTTGAAGAAGGGACCCAGCTGTGAAGGTGTAAGTCATAAACAATGCCGCACCAGTTTGGAATTATGATTAATAGGGTGGTATTTATTTAAAGGGGAAAAAACTTACAGATCACTGTCAGCCCTCTGCGCAACCAGGAAGGGAGTCTAGTCATCGGCGGAGCAGGAAGTGAAGAGAGAGAGGAGAGGGAAGTGGCCGCTTTTTTAAAGGGAGAGAGACCACGCCCCAATGGGCTGGTATCTCAGCAGCGATAGGCTGGAGGAGTGGGAGGACACAGTTTAACACAGCTGCACGCACAATGTGAGTTAAACTAGAAGGCATTGTGCTAAGTGAAAGAAGCCAGTTTCAAAACGACATACACTGTATGATTTCAGTGGTACAATGGGTCAAAAGTCATCAAAAGTATAGAACTAGAAATTAGAAAGATGGTTGCCAAGGGTGGGGGGAGAGAGGGAAGGAGAATTGTGTCTAGTGGTAAAAGTGAATACTGTGTGTTGATTTATTCTTTTAGCTTTTTTGGGGAGGCCTGCCACCCAGCTCCCAAATAAATCACACACAGAGGCTTGTTCTTCCTTATGAATGCCCAGCCTTAACTTGGCTTGTTTCTTGCTAGTTTTTCTTAAATTATCCTACTACCTTTTGCCTCTGGGCTTTTATCTTTCTCTATTTCTGTATTTCTTTACTTCTTTTTCCGTGGCTTGCAGTGTAGCTAGGTGGCTGGCCCCTGATCCTCCTCTCCTTGTTCTCTTGCTCCTCCTCTCCGAGTTCTCCTCCTATCTATACTCTCTCTCTCTCTCTCTGCCAGCCCCACCTATCCTTGCTCCAGCCTCGCTGTTGGCCGTTCATCCCTTTATTAAGACCATCAGGTGTTTTAGACAGGCACAGTAACACAGCTTCACCAAGGTAAACAAATGCAGCATAAACAAAAGTCACACACCTGGAAATAATATTCCCCAACAAGCTAATCTTGTCAACTTGATCTGATTCTGAGGCCCAGTGGAATTTACACAGAGTCTGTCTCTGAAGGAGCTTCTAGGGATGACTAGATCATGAGAGATCAAATAGGATCAATAGCTTAATCCAATGATGGGTTCAGAATTGGAATAGATTCCTGGGCGGTGGTTAGAACTATAGAAGGTGTGGCCTGACAGGAGGAAGTAGATCGCCTAGAGTGTGTCTTTGGGTGGGGGCTTTGCTGTGTCGCGGTTGAGTTCTGTTACTGCTCTCTGTTTCCTGGTTGCTGAAGGGAATAGTTTTCCTCCACCGAGCTCTTCTACAGTGACGTACTGCTTCATTCCAGACCAGATGCAGGGAACCACCATGGACTAGAACCTGTTAAACTCCAGACTAGGCTGCGGCTCAAACCACAATACCTGCAATAGTCCCTCGCGTTTTGCCAGCCCACAGATACTGACAGGCAACCTATGAACACCAATTCTATGACTGTCTAACAAATGAACTCCCAGGGGTCTGATTTCTCACTTGAGGGATTTGCAGGCTTAGAAACATCAATGAGATATGGGTGGCTACCAATAGCACACACCACCCACCTCATCCTCTCCCTGTCATCTACTGGGGGATCAGAAAGTCTGGCTGAAGGCTCATGCTATAATAAGCCTTTCCTACTTCCTCAGAGAACTATAAGGAACCCCCACTCCGGCTCCTCTCTAGGACCTGATTTCAGAATCCCCATCATGCTGTTTATTTGTGGTGATTGGGGCCTGAAATCCTGAGTCCCAGGCATGTGGCTATTTGTCTGACTGCCCTTAGAATTAAAAAATTTGAATACAATTTTTTTTTTAGTCCCAGCAATCTGTCTTAGTGCCCTCCTTAACTCCCATACCTAAGACCTTTAAAACATTAAGCCCAAAGAAATACTTCCTTCTTTAAACTGTTCCTCTTCTTTCAACTATTCGTTATAGTAACAAAAAGTCTAACACAAATGGATGGAGTGTTAGCGTTGCAGGATGAAAACGTTCTAGAGACCTGTTGAATGTGGATATATTTAGCAGTGTTGAACTATATACTTACAAAGACCGAGGATGGCAAACACTGAAAACTGTGAATACGGAAGTAAAAACCTAAATTCAGTTTTGAAGATAGTTTGGTGGTATACATACATATCTTGGGGATATCTCTTTTCTAAAGAAAAGTGGAAGCAGACTTTTGTGCATGCCTTGCAAAAGATACTTAAAGTGATTAAAGGCAGGTGTGATGGTTAGTGCTGATGGTTAACTTGACCCGACTTTGTTTTTTTAATTTATTTATTTATTAAAGATTTCTGTCTCTTCCCCGCCACCGCCTCCCATTTCCCTCCCCCTCCCCCAATCAAGTCCCCCTCCCTCATCAGCCCAAAGAGCAATCAGGGTTCCCTGCCCTGTGGGAAGTCCAAGGACCACCCACCTCCATCCAGGTCTAGTAAGGTGAGCATCCAAACTGCCTAGGCTCCCACAAAGCCAGTATGTGCAGTAGGATCAAAAACCCATTGCCATTGTTCTTGAGTTCTCAGTAGTCCTCATTGTCCGCTATGTTCAGAGAGTCCGGTTTTATCCCAGGCTTTTTCAGATCCAGGCCAGCTGGCCTTGGTGAGTTCCCGATAGAACATCCCCATTGTCTCAGTGTGTGGGTGCACCCCTCGCGGTCCTGAGTTCCTTGCTTGTGCTCTCTCTCCTGCTCCTGATT